GTGTTAATTTAGTATTTCCATTAAAAAGGCTTAGGGTTAGGATTTGATGGAGCTACGTGGACAGGGGGGGGACTAAACTATGTAAACCAAAACATGCTGTTTAAAAATACACTTTTTGTGTTCCTAAAAAAATATGCAATTTTTCCTTTTCGGCAAATGTCCTTAGCTCATATTGTCCTGGGAACCTTTACTCGACCTTACTTCACTTACTTTGAAAATAAAGGCTTAAAGTTTAACAGATATACTTACGGTCTACTCAAAACTCTGCGTCAAAGGACCTGAACACAATAAAACGTATTTAAGATGATCATATCGGATAAGAAATGGATGGTAATTATCAGTTAACATCTCTGAAAATTAAAGCAAAATGTGAAATATGAACCATTCATTTTCTTTTATTTATTTCTGTTTGACATTTTTTCATTACAGAGTATAAACTGACCCCCCCCCCCAGAACAGTCCACTGCTTATTTATTTATCCATAACTTCAAGTCATGTTAGCCTGTATGCACATCTGTGAAGGGAATATTTTTTATGTAAAACACATTTTAAGCCTGTCTAATGACAGAAATGTCCAATATTACAGCTCTCAGCCTGTCCGTGTTTCCTACAATCAGATGACCACAAAGTAATATCATATTTACATCCTTTGTCACTGTTCTTGTATCTTTTGATGGAATGACAAAACAACAACAGCAGCAACCTACAGAGTATGCACCCACACACACACACACACACACACACACACACACACACACACACACACACACACGCGCACGCACACACACACAGGGACGTTAACACAAAACAGATGGCCTCATCCCATGTAACGAGTTACTCCACTGCAAAATCTTTGTGTAGCCATCAGAAGCATGAACCATAGTTCCTGAATAGTTGGCCTCTGGTGACCTTGACCCATTCTGGTTTACGTCACTTTGTGGGAACACCACAGCCTAATTCTGCCTCTTTGTTTTCTTCCCTTGGTGTCTCATAGAGCCCAGAGATTTCTGCAGGAAAAACACTCAACAGTAGCAAACAGCTCGTGGGACGTCCTTGCACATTCCAGCATCTGGAAACATCCTAACAAACTGTCACAGGGTCCAAGTAGTAGTTAACAGGAAGACATGAGTGGATATAAAACTAAAAGATCACACATACAGAATGGGAATAACAAGCGAATTACTTTTTTTTTTTTAAATGAAAGGTATAATGTGTTAACCTGAAGTGAGTGTAGGAGTCAAAACAGAATAATAACAATAAAATGGGCAGATTTATTTCTGTCTTCATGTAAGAGTAGATAAATTACTTAGAAATCAGTATTTTATTTACTCTCACTTATAAATATATTTTACTCTTTGGGTTTGAAAAGATGAAGCAGTCCTGATCTGTGGTTTCCTCGCGCACCACACTGTGGCTGAGTGGGAAAAAAGGGAAACCTTGTGGGCTTTTTCTTCCTGGTTTTGGAAGATTGAAAGTATTTTGAATGGTTGCTGTCATGAAATCGAGTGGTGCTTGAGGACACTGGTGATGCTGTGTGGCTGGGATCTGTGGGTCATTATAACTATTATCTTTAATTCAGATTATACTCCTCACATAACAGGACTGAACAGTTTTCACTGGATAGAAACCGGAAATCACTGTCTGCTGACAGAAATAATAAAAAAATCACGCACTATCCGTCAGAAAGCATCATAACTTCATTAATTTATTTACTGATATTATTTAAAAAAAATTGTATTATTGCTGGAATGAGAGACATATACTAACAGTGTGCAGTTGTCAATCTGCAACATTTTTCCATATAGCATTAAAAGATTTGGGGAAATGTGGATCATGGATTCTCGTTACCCGTTACTACCGTCATATATTTCTGATGAGAAAGAAAGTTAGTTTAGAGACAACAGGAGCTGAAAAATAAAACAATTTTAACAAATGAAACAGGAAAACAGCTTTTACAAAGTTTGTAGAGCATGTTTTATGCTTTTCCTACAGGAAAGGTAAATGCACACATTAAACATGTCTAATGTCCAAGTGATGACATCATTGTATGTACAAGTAGTCCATGTAAGCAAATCCAAATGCTCAGGCTTAAACAATCAGCTTCCAACAGCCTCCTACTCATCTCTATGTGATATCAGTGAGATGTCTCGTGTTTGTGTTTTGAGAGGAGCAGCCAATCAGAAGAAAGATCAAAGGCAAGGGGAAGGACGGTGAGCTGAAACAAGACCTGGCATAAAATAAATACGATTTCTGTTGAACTGTGAGCCATGCGAGTCCAGGAATAAAAATATGGAACTTGAAAAAGTAAAACTTGAAGTAGCAGTAATCTTAATTTCAGGAGGAGTTATGCACTGTTGAGTTATTTCCTTGCTGAGGGAAGATTCTGTTATGTCCCTCTGTTTCAGTGTTTAAGCTAACAGCCTTGTGGCTCTAGCTTTATTCTAAAATGACTGTGGTAACAACTTTCTCATGTCCAGCAGGATAACAAACACAATATACTAAGAAGGTTCTTTTTTAAGCACGACAATGTAAACAGGAAGTCCTCCTTATTTCCGGCATCTCACATCATCTATGTGCAGTCTATGCACTAGTCACCCACTGTGGAAGAAAACATGCTCAAGTGGAAAAAAACAGAGACCGTGTCAGTGCTCTGAATACAGGTTAACACGATCAGTCGATTGACTGCAAGCTAAAAGTTGCCTCTCTACAGCCTTCTAAGCATCTGTGGATCTGTGGGGCTTCTTGTGGTTGTAGGTTGTAAAATTAAAGTCCTTGCTGACACAGACATAAACACCAGCCGCAAACACTGCCTGCTTCAATTAGCAGACATGTGCATTTCCAAACGAAACCACTGTCTCCTGTACAGGGAAAATCAATGGCTGACACTGACACTGGCAGCAGCCCGTAAGAGCTCCACGTCATCAACACAGCTTTGGTTTCTCTGGACGAGAGAGCAATGATTTTATTACTTACCAGGAAAATTTTAACATGCAAACTCTCAGGCATGCCGTACATTCACTTCTAATTATGTACATGTTTGTCAGAATTAGAGGTTTTAATAGGTGGTTCTGTGGATGATTTTGTCCTGTTTGTGCATTTTTCTTTTTCATGATGGAATTTTACCACACAGCCCAACAGATTAAACGCGCTATCCTTGTAGATATTAACTTTAAGCACCACAGACGTGCGAGAGTTGGTGTGAGAATTACTGTGTGAGTGGAAGGCTGATATGAGTATATCTGAATTTAATTATTTTATTTTTAAGTATACAGTTTTGAAAAAAGTACACACATCTGCAAAGATATTAGAATGTCATCACCATGTAAATATTACATTATTAGTACATTATTAGTACATTATAGTACGTGGATTGCATTGAGCACTTAAGTGATAGCTGAAACTAATAAGATATTTGTATAATCGATATTGTGCAAAAAAAGTGGACAAACTTGATTGGGAAATTACACACTGAAAAAACGTAGACAAAAGAAGCTTAAAATATTTTAATAAGCTTTAAAGTTCTTAAAGGTTTTAAAAGGATTTTTTGTTGGTCTAGACAAGCTCCACTTTTAACTATCTACTTCTGCGGTTTGGCAGCTGGGTGTCTCAGTGCTCACCAACCCAGTGTGCATCGTCACACCTCGCTAACATCACCTCAGTCTGTTAGCCTAACATTTACATTTACATCAGTTGAGAACACACAACTACCATCATTTTAATCCACTCAGCTAAACATGTTCAGCAAACAGGAGCTCAGAGGTTGCTGTTAGACTACATCCCTGTCCTCTCTGGTGGATCTAAACTAGAAGGATACTTGATTTCTAAATAAAGGACTACATACATACATCCCTGTGGATTCATATATGTTAAACTGGCTGATTTATGAAGCTGTTAAAAACTACATAATCATTTTGACACCTCCTAAAATCATAGTAATGGCTTTTGTGCCTTGACCCTTGAGCAGCTGTGATCTCCCCCCTCCCTTTTTTCAGGATCGTTTTTCACACCTTTTATAAAAGCTTCCTTTTTATCTGGTGCCATCAAGAGGCCAGCATTCTTTCAACCAATACTTTTAATTTATTTCTTCATATGCTAAAAGTTCTTGATTTTATGCTGTTCACCAGCAGTTGTTGTTGCATGTCTGCACGGACATTGTTAGCACTGCTGTGTCTGTGCATACCATCTTATTGTCGATAATAGCTTATATTGTTTCCCAGCCTTCCCTTATCCATGATCTAGCCCGGAAAGACTTTCTTAGTAAACATGGTCCATGGGAAAAAATATAGTTAGAGGAGTTTTGATGGAATCTACAAAGTTTACTCTCCCACAGCTGTGAGTTATTGCTGGCCGTCATTACTCATGATCATGATTCAGATAAGCAGTTAGAAAAATGAATGAATGGATGTATGGAAATAAATGGGTTTGCCACAAACACAAACTGAATTCTGGTATGGGCTGATGTTTGCACGTATACACTCTTTATGCTTTCTACCCTTGAACAATATGTTTAGGCCTGTGACATCACAGTCTAATGTAGTAATGAACTTCGCTCTTCAAATGCAGGTATCTTCTGTTGGTATTTAGGTGAAGCTGAAATGTCTAAGATTCTTGTGCGTTACATATCAGTGCATCTACAGAGCTGTGCATATATTAAGTATTGGTGGTTTCATGGATACCAGTATTGTGGTCGATGACATTCTTGAGAATGGAGTCCATGAATGCTTTGAGTGCTAATGGAGCTTCGCTGCATTCATTGGTCGGGCTAAATATTGATCAGGAATCCACTATTGAAAGCACTCAGTAGTTTGCATTAAGCTGAAATAGCAGCTAATCAGGGAGATTCTGGTGTTGAATTTCCAGTTAGTTTGCTCTCATTGGTGGAATCTGATAAACTGAAAAGTTTTCTCAAATTGATCCCACATGAGTGTTCAGGGAAAACAGCGTTATATGACTGTGATCTTCAAAATGCTCTAAATAAAATGCAATGATAGCACGAACCAAACATTTAAAATAGCTTTAATTATTAGACACACTCATATAATTTACATACTTCATAATATATATCGCCCACATCAATGAACATAATCTGTTAATTTTGAACATTTTGACTTTACAAGGAAAAAAAGACAAACATTTTTTCTAGAAGGCATATTGCATAACAAAATAAAGCTTAACTTTATTGATTCAGCTGAACTGCAGTCAGTCTCTCTGGCTTTTGTCTTTTAATCCTCTAGATTTTGTTTAGCTTAAGTCAGGTTTTGGACCTGGGTCAGCACCCAGCATGCACCCAGTAGGGTTTGATTCAGTTCCCTTGCATTTACTTTGAACATTCTGAGATGTGAACAAATACACAGAAACATGAGACTAAAATATAAAAGAACCTTAAAAGAAGGAAATGCTGTCAGCTATAGAGACCCATATCAGTCCCAGGATAAATTGTGCTTGGGTGTTGTGTATGCATAAGAGGAAGGAAGAAAACAGCAGGACTCTGGGAGTGGAAGCTTCCTTTTAGCTGCACGCTGTGCACTCGGCTCACTGTTTATCCGCTGACTCTGCCTCCAGAGAGACACACCAGTTTGCCTTCTCACTTTTCAAAAATGGGTAAAAAAATGGCAGCAAAAGGCCTCTTGGGTGAATTTTAGGTGGCTGACAGAGAGGATAGCTGAGCTTTATACCAAGGGTGAAGCAGGAAGTGTCAAAAAAACAGAAATGAGCAATTTCCTATGCAGCATTCCCCCCAAAATGCAGAATTCGTATCATTTTTAAAGTAATAGAAGAGCAATGAATGGGTGATACTGAATTTTATTTTTGCCTCTTGAGGAAAAAAGTTCTGTTCTCTGCTTTAAAAAATGGACTTTGGGGCTTTGATGTGGTTATCACTGGGAAGTACAGATCACAATTTTTAGATACAGTGAGAAAGATCTGTGTTTTGCATTTCATGTGTTTAACATACATAGGGGGCTGTCTACAATGATTACATGTGTCACATGTAATCTGTCACTGGTACTCGACAGACTGGATTAAAAATGAGTTCTAAAACAGAATCACTTAAAAAGTATCATATTTTTAAAAGTCTTTTACATTGTTACTAACTACATTTGATACTTTTTTTATGAACTGACCTTACGTATAATGGTCAAATAATTTGGATGTCTGCTGTCTGCATTTATCACAGATTTTATCTCACCTGCTTTCATTTAGACTGTACTGCTATGCTGTTACTGGCACTGCAGTAAACATTGTTTTATGTAGCCACTAGAGCTCAAGCCTGCTTGGCCTCATTGTCATGGCAACCATGTTCGTGTGGGTATCCGCTCGTCTATGTAATCACACTGTTTGTCTTGCACCCAGAATAGCCAGAGGAGGTATTCTGAAGCCAAAAGCACCTGAAGCCAATGCAAACACGTCGCGCACCGGCCATCTGATAAATCTTGGACACAGAGAGAGCAGAAGAGAAGGATTTACGATCTTCCCAGTGATGTTCACCTTCATACCCTATGAAAAATTCTAGAAAGAAAGAGGACATTTCTCTCATTCTAGATTAAAAGTATTTTTCACAAGATTTTCAGAACTTAGTAACACTTCCATTGTTGCTAATGCACACAGCCGTTATCATCTCACTTTAAAAAACAGTCAGATCACAAGCAGCTCCCCCTGGCACCTAAACTGTCAACACTCTCTGCCAAGGAGAGGTTTAAAACATCGTCCATTTTCCAAATGTTCCAACTGTGCCCACATTAAACCATTAGAGGACAGAGTATAACTTCAGAAAGACACACTATAGCTTCATATAATGTGTTTTACAGGCTCATTCCCTGAACTAAACGTAGTTTTTTTTCCCCATATGCCTCCGCTAATTTGGAAAAAAAACCACAAACTGGCGGAGCAGACATTTTTTTGGCATGTTGCATAGCTTTACAGCCAGCATATGTTAAAAAGGGAAATGGTTTCAAATGACTTCATGTCTATACTGTGGTTGGAGGATATACCATGGCTGAAGTAAATATCCTGGGATGGAGAGATGCTCTGCTTGGCTTTAGGGATAAAAAAGATGGGATTTTTAACATCTTCACAGTCAGTTCAAGGTTGAGCTTCATCTCACTTTTCCTCCCTAGTCTCGAGGACTAGCCTACAGTCACTGCGTCTGTGGTGCCGGCTGTATGGTGCTGTCTTCAGTGAGAAGGCATTGTGTGCGCATGATGTGTGTTGGCACTGACTGAACATTTCCATGAAACCAGTGTGGTGGTGGAAAGTAGGACAAAAAGAAAAGCAGGAGGAGAGAGGAAACACTTCAGTGGCTAAAACAAATGGAGCTGTTGAGTTTAAGAACATGATTAAATTAGGATGGAGGTAATTGACGCCAAGTCATCACATTCTCTTTTCTAATAGTACACTTGGGAGAATTTTGTATCCAAAATTTGAGCCAGATAGGCTATTTTATCACATATCATTTCATTAATCTAGAATGTCTTTTCTAAATTATGTCAACGAAAATAGAGCTTTTACCAGAAAGCGAACTTGTCCTATCTAGCTAAAGTGACACTGACTGGCAGCAGGTTACGTACAAAAGCTCAGGTCACAACTTGCACGTTTACTCTTTATTATTATCCTATGACAGTTAGTCATGAAATTTTGCCTCCAGCATCTACAACCAATATTATCCAAGGCCTCAGTAACAAAGGCCTACAGACCACTTGCTGACAACCAAGAAAAATGGGTGTTTCATAGTAACATTTATTGCTAAATTGCACTTACGCAGGTCTAGAGCCCGGCTAGCTCCTCGGGTCATCGGAATATAATGTCTATAGCCTGACTGTTTGACAAATGGTTGAACAAGGTTGCTTGATGTTGCTTTTAAATTGATTGCAAAGAGACACATGCTGCTGCATTTAAAACCTTGCGATTACTTTGGTCACATGCAGACCGCCATGGTTACCTCTAATTTGCATGTGAAATGCCAACTTGTCTGCAAACACTTGCTGCTTGGTGAGCAGTACTGAACAGTGCGACACACAAAATACTGTTCACCTCCAAAGTAAAAGTTGCCCCTTTTGTCACATGTTGGTTTCAGCGATAAGGCAAAGCTTTTATTTTGAAGGTGAGCATTCTCAGTTTCCTGGCTCCATGGCACTTTTTAGTTTCCCTACCACTGGTGGTTAAGTAACTAACTGCAGACCAGTCTGTGTCTTACATACAAACCACGGACAACTGCAGGAGCCTGCTAACTACAAGAGGAATTGCAAGGAGCTGGAGGCTTGAGGCCTGTGTAACTGAGCCTTTATGTAGCTTCCTATGTGCATTTTTAAACTCCTCCTTACTTGATATTTTTTCCAAAATAAATAAGTCATAGTGTTATGGTCAGTGCAGAAAAATTTTATAGCTAGCAATAGTGAAATGAGAAGCTAACTCTCGTGTATCTGAGCCCCAAACTGCATATGTGGCATGGAATCTGTGACCATTCAGACACAAAATGGCTGCGTGAATAGTCATCTGGTTGTTTCAAAGAAAAATGAAATGTTATGTTGTTATGGAACCAAGATGACTGAAATGTGCAGAAAGTATGAAAAATGCCCATTTGTGTTGGAACCAGTATCAAAGCTCATATTTTATCAACACTCATATTTAATAGTTTCAAACACTTCCAGGCACTGAAAGAAACTGGACAGATTATGTAATATGTTCCCCTCCATTTACCACATGTGTTGCACCATCCCTGCACCATTAACATGAATAACTGCAGACTGGTGAGTGATGTAGTTACATTGTGATGAGTAAGCTGAAAAAATCTGCGATCCTTTGGGATTCATCTATTCTTATTCATACCTGGGAGGCCGGCTGTGTCTTTCTCTCGCACATGCACATAAAAAAAACTGAACAACATTAGTAGCACTGTCATCTATTGAAGATCAGACAGTATTATTAAATTTCAGTTGCTGAGAAGAGGCTGCTTATGTAAGCCAGCAGACAGCCTTCAGGAAATATTGCTTTTCTTCACTGATTGTGTTCAGTCTTCCGCGTACTGCTCACAAATCAACCAATAAAGATGTCAGCACAGGGCAAGCAATATCCACCCAGCCAGCATAACACATTTACCAGTCGATGCTGAATAGCACACAGACTTTTGGTCTAGCTATTTGTACACGCAAGCAAAGCCCACGGAGAGGCAAAACTAATAAAAGATTATCATCACAACAGTGCAGTCATCTCAGGGAACAAACAGGCATATGTAGTTAAGGTTTACACCAATCAGGCACAACATTTGCTTTAAAGAAAACTAATACAGGTTAGCGTAATTGTCAAAACAGAAGAAAGATTTTCATCCAAAGTCAAGATTTGCCTATAACCAGTCACAACTAGTAACCAGTGCACTGGTAGCTGTACTACAACTCAGTGACTATACAATCGTGCACATGTTTGGTAACGCACTGAAGGGATTAGCTTTACAAAGACACAAATGCTATCACTGGCACTTTTTTTGTTTTTCAATGTGTTAAACTTTTATCTCAGTGCTTCGTCTTCTATTGCAAGTTTGACATATTTTCTAGTGCTGATCAGGAAAGTGTTTGGGGATAAACAGTTGGGGAGAAAATCATATTGTTTTTCTATTTTTTTGTTGAAACAATAAGGCGGTCATTAACCACTGGAAGAGTAGTGATATATTATCAATAAACAAGGATCAATATAGCAATCTTTATTTAGGATTTCAATGAGAGGTTGATTTTACACTATTACTGCTCAACACGTTCTCACTCCCAAAGCGTAACACTAGGTGACAAATCGTCATTATATTATGCTTTCGGCTGCCCAACACATCCCTATATTATGAGTTTGGAAAACATGAGAACTGTCTGGAATGACTCTACATATGTATGTTTATTTTGTTTAAATCGCACAATCTGGCGCGTAGCTTAGAAACGCGGAAGGTCACCTTTCGCATTTCCATGGAACGCCTCGGGACGTGACAAATCGTTAGTATATTATGCGTCGGGAGTGACTCTACTACTATCTTATATGCAGTACACTGGGGTTCATAAAAGCTGTTGTTTGTGGAGTGCGATAGTCATTCCCAACCTCAGGGTCAGGCCCCTTCAAATGGGCCCTGAGGTAAATTTGAAGAGCTCAGAAGAAACAATAGAGTTAAATACACAAAACTTTTGGTTATTTCTCATCACACATTTGCTTTTGATTTGTGAAATACACACAATATGGGCAAAAGTACCGGCCCACCCACACATTACACCAACAGGAGCTGCTCAGCCATTGAAATGATGCCATGAAGCTCCTGGCACACAGATGTTGTGCTGATGTTAATATCACAGGAGGTTTGAAAGTCTGCAACTGCTGAGTCAGATGAGCATTGGTGACTTTTATACCAGGTGCACTTTTAGCAGTTGGTAACTTTATGTGGTCTACCACTTTGAGGCTGTGTTGCTGTGGTTCCCAAACACTTTCGTGTTACAACCTGACGTATTGCAACAGTGGTACAGCGGTATCCTGTTACAGTACCATGCTTGAATTCCTTAGAATAACTCACTCTTTCACAAATGTTTGTAAAGGAAGACTGCATGGTTAGGTGCTTGATGTTATAGAGTTAGAACAATGAAACTAAAAATACCTGAAGGATTAAGGGACTCTGTGGCCCGATACTTTTGTCTATATACATTGCATTAAATCTTCTGCTCTAATACCTCTACAAACTAGTCCAGGAGTACATTTTTTATCGTCTGGCACAGCTACATTTACCTTATTACCCAGAAACTATCACCATAACTGAATAATCTTTCATTTGAAGAGGATAAAAGATAAAAAGTTGGGAATTACTTTCATACAGAATCCACAAAATGTTAAATTGATTATACAAAGTAACTAATAATAACTAGTTTTTGTAAAGGTTCAGAATTAATATATTGGTGGCAATATTGTTCCTAGATTATTTTTAAAAAGTCAAAGTCAAGGCAAAGTTTCAATTTTGACTTGCCGATAAAGTATGTGTCAAACCATCTGAAGTCATGTTTCAGCTCGTTGGCAGATCGTCTCACTGTGCTTTATTTTTCAGGAAAACAAAATAACGTAAAAGAAAAGAAACTGAAATAATATCAGGGATTGTTAAAAAGACCCTGAGGAAAATCTGTGACACAGGATTTTAAAGTTGATTTTGTGAGGCACCCCTGTTTGGCTATATATGGTCCAAAATCCCTTAATACTGACATCAATGTTTTATAGGAAGTTAGTGCAGTTACAGGAAGGAACAAAAGAAGAAACAGGTAATTGTCTCTCATACCCAGTGTCTTTCACCGGGGAAAGCCCCATTATGTGCCTTTCACAACATCAGTGCACTCTTCTTTTAATCTTCAGTGATCTGGGTTTTGATGTTGCCGAGGGAGTGTTCAATAGTGGCTTTAGTCCCTCTCTGTGATTATTCTTCTTACAAAAACGTCACATCTTCTTGCGACTGCACCCAGCGCCAGTGGGCGTCGTACTCCAGATGCATTTTGCCATTCATTTTGCACGTGTCCAAGTCAATCTTTCCATTTTTGTAAGGTTTAACTTTGGGGCTCTGGCTGGTTGCCAGTTTCTCACTGAGACAGGTGCGGGTCGGGCTGCCTCTTTGTGTGGTTGATTTCTCCAGGACACCATTAGCTTTAAGGCCTTGCGTTGGAGTACTGACCTTAAACATGGGGCTTCCCTTATCCGTCTCTGCAGTCTTGGTCCAGATAGGAGCACCTTGCTTGAGGCCCTCAGACTTGGCTTGTGGACAGCTGCCAGGAGCTGCTGGCTTCCCACTTTCAGTTCCTCCAGTTCCCTTCCCAATGGCAACATTCCCAGGTCCACCTTTCACTTCTGGAATAATTCCAACCCCAGTACCATTCTCACTTCCCACAGCACTAGACCCGGACTTCAGGCCTAACACGGTCCCTGACACCGCGGCAGTGACTGTGGCCACGGAGCCTCCCGCCATGCGGCCCCCAGCAGTAGCCTCCGAAACTAGAGGTGTGGTGGAGCAGATGACGGATTCAGAGCTGGAAGGGCAGTACTCATCCATGTCGTCTGCCAGCGTGTCCAGGTAGCTGCCAATGGAGATGTTGTCTAGCTTGTCATTGGGGTCCTGCAAGCTGCTCCAGGAGCCTCTCCAAGAGGTGTCGGGTCCCTCCCCCAGGCTGTACTGGCTGCTGGTGAGGCTGCTGCAGCGGCTGGTCAGTGTGCTGCGCTCCTCAAACAGCCATTTCACTGCTTCGATGCCCTCGTGCACCGCCAGCAGCTGTTGCAGGATCTTAACGTCCACCGAGCGCAAGTGAGCCTGTGGACACAAAAAAGGAGATATTCTAAATTTACAATAATGATGCATGCTTACTTTCACAGTGGTCATGTTTTGATAGTGTGCAATGTGCAACAAAAGAGAAATCTAAACAGATGCTGAACCTAGGAGGCCGCACATATTTATGTAAAGCTGTCAGCTTTGGCTCTAGGGACAAGTGCAAACACCGTTATAATGCTATTAAACTATTCCAGATTACCCTAATTGGAAGAAACTGCCTGGAGTCCACAATACTAAAAATGGGAAACAAATAAAGTAAAGGTGGAGGGGAAACAAGGTTGCAGATGGATATTACAAGGGAATGTGACTGAAGCGGAGTTTGTAGGAGAAGCTAGTGAGAGATGGAAATTTGATACAGTGGAAAGTAAGACGCATTAGTAAAGAAAGTCGAGAAAAAGCTTGACTTTTTTTCCTTTTCAGCTGACTTTTAAATGCTGTAAATGGTGCAAAGGATTCAAAAGTTAATCTACAACTTCTGTCATAAATAAATAAAGCAATAATTGCTTCAGCGGGCCTCTAGCAGCCACGGGTATCTTCAAATACAATATGTGTGTGGGAGGATAAGAAAGCTAAATGGTGACTTAGAAGGAGAAAGATGGCTGCAGTCATGGAAAATTCTTCCCTAGAATACATTTGCAGAAGTTCTCAAAGCAAAGTGCAGAGCCCAGAGGTGATATATGGCAACAACATTCAAAGCTCTGACCACTGAGATCACCTCGGCTTTAAGCCTTTGATTTCAAAGTATTCTTCAGTTTCCTCCTTATGTATCACTTTCTGTTGGTCTATTACTGTGCCCCGGGAGGCTGGCTGTATCCCTTTTTGGGAATCATTAAAATTTGTGGTAATTTATACATATTTGTGTATTTCATCTCAGATAATTTTGGGTCAGACAGACAAAATATACAATTATAGTTTTACAGTCTTTTTATATTTTACTTTACTACATCGCACTGTGAAAAGTGAAAGTCCTGCAAGTGTAACATGTATATTCCAGCGCTAACACAGCATTGGGATAATAAAGTGTTGAGTAAGTTTAACACCCCAAAAAACTCCAAGCAGAGGCCTCAGGCCACTAAGATCTTTCTGACCTTTTGGAGTTTAAGTGTAACAGTTTAATTGATTCTTATAAATCAATAAATCAGTCTGATGGAATGAATTGATTGATCCAACCTACTAAGTCACTCATGTTTATCAGTTCTGATGAAAACACTGGCAGAAGAATTAAGAAAGCCGCTCAATGGGGTGTTTAAAAGCCTGACGTTCTTCCATCCAGATGGAAAATGGTGCACGTGAGCATGAATTAATATGCCTCATACTTCGTTTCTATGCATAGGTAGTGGCTGACCTTTGGATAAGCCATTCACTGTTTAAGACCACACCACAGGCTGCTTGGTAAAAAAAAAAAGAAAGAAAGAAAAAGCTATGGCAAATTCAATCCACTGATGTTGAGTGGTTTTCCTCCATCTTCCTCAGTATCAAACCAGCAGGAAGCTGATCGACATCAGTGGTTTCTAAACTGGGTATTAAGAAAAGATCATTTCTGCCCCGTTTTTTCCTCTAAGACTGCTGAATACTTTGACCTCTTGAATCTTTCTAAAAGTGTGGTTTGACTCAGCTGACGGAGGGAGAGGTAGGGCAGGATGGTTCAGGGAGCAGAGTCAGGGTGGGTTGATTGGCACAGCTGTCACGCACTGGCTCATCAGTCTCCCCTTCTTATGCCGTAACATGCTCGAACCTTGGGCTGCACCACAGGCCAACCACAGAGTCCGGCTCTGTGCATCATGATTAAAAAAACATAACCAACAATTGTCAAACTCATCAATGGGAAGCAGCAGTTTTAATCACTGCATGCTCAAAGTTGGTTGGTGCCCATCACCTAAAGAATACTAACTTTATCTTTGAGCTTACCACATTTGCTCAAAAACCTTTTACTTAGTCTGTGCCGTGAAAGATTGAAATGGCTCACGTGACTTGTAGAACATAACCACAGCATGACTAAACCATAACCAGACCTTATCCAGAGTGTAATTTTAACTTTGGAGAAAACACACAAGATTGAACTTATGGGAACCAGCTTTTTTGTTGATTATCACAAGTAAACACAGGCAACACACTTCAGAAGAAAAAAAAATGTGGATCTGAGATGAAATAGAAGGGTTTCATTTTACTTTCTTTACTGGAGGAGAATTGAGCTGTGTGGTCAATGTTCTGGTAAATGCTGAAGCCAAAGTCAGTGGTTATGCTAAATTACACAGGCAGACACAGCTCTAATACACACACACATATATATATATATATGTATATACAGCTTTTTGTTCATGAATATGTGGGTATGAACCCACCGGCATCCCGGCACACACAAGTTTTGGGGTGGGGCTCAAGGCTTGAGGTTTTTGGCTGGCAGAGACCGAGTGCTTAATGAGGGTGGCAATAAAAGTAGCTCCGTGCCTGTCAGCGCTGAGGTGGCACAATGCTAACAAAGCTATGAGCTCCACCAGTCTATGAACACTTTGCTGCAGAACTACACTGACTTTAACTGCTGCTGTGGCAACAGGTCATTTTTTTTCTGCGATATTAATTTGGGTAACTTGGGTGGTTAGTTAGAGATGATATTTTTGTACTGTGCATTAACCAAATTCACCAATGCATGAAATTAAAACAAGTTATACACCAGAGATGCATTTGAGTATGTAATTTTACACAAGCAGAGGGACAATCTGTGGGTGGCCTTGCTGCCACACCTTAGCTTTTTGGGGGGATAATAATTCTTCTGTAAGGCTACTGCCTCTGAAATACAACTAGATATATGGCATTTGCTCTTAACACAATATCTCAGAAAGTGTTAGTGGAAAATCTTCAATAAAAATGTAAAAGAAATCATCTTTGTCATCTCAACTCTGCATGCCTTCTTTACTGAGGTCACAAAATAGATTAGTTGCCTACAAATCAACATATTAAAATATGCAAACGTTTTTTCGTAATGAAATTTAAACAATGACAGCCACGTGTTCCAGCTTTTTGCTAAAAGTGAAATCCATCATGTTTGTGTCAGCTGTTTCCTGCTTTGTTTGCTCTGCTGCTCTTCAAGTGGGACTTGTTTCAATCCCCACTATATTCATTACTTTGAGACTGATTTGAAGCATTTAATTACACAACAAAGTCAAGCGTGCACATCAAAGAAAGGATGAAAAAGGTCGAAGTGGGGCCAACAAAGTTTAATGTGAATGGGACTAAGCAGCCTTAAGGATTTAATATCATTAATCATGTTTTTTGCATTTCCTGAAACATCGGTACATCGCCAAACACACTCCTGCTTCCTTACTCAGCATGAAGCCACGCACCAGCTGGCAGAACCCACAGGTTTCTGGAAAGCTAATTTTCCTGCCTTTTATATTATCAAATAAGACAAGTACCTGCACTCTGCAAACAAGTCAAACTCGTTGTTTCATATTAAAAGATTTCTGGTGCAGAAGAAAGACGTCATTTGTTTTGGATCCCTGCTAAAATCTTTGTAATATTTATCCGCCTCAGGAAATATTTATTACTGTGTAATGAAAGCACAAAAAGTACTGCTTCATAAAGTGTCAAAATATACGTCATAATAACATCATTAGGTATCTTTATCTTTAGCTCTCCACATTAACAGTGAAATAAATAACTTGAAGACGTGTTTCTGGTATCTGATCAGTTAATTAACAAAAAAAAAAAAACACAACACAGACAAACCGACAGTGTAAATGAGTACTTGTGGTCTTAAAATGTGCAAATACTGTAGCTGGAGCACACGGTGCCCACAGTGGGACGTGAGGAAAATCTTTTAGCTCTAAGAATATCAACAGAAGAAGACGACTGATGGCAACACTTGAGTGATCTCATCTGAGGGAATTTAATTGTTGAAGGGTTTCCTTCTCTAACGTTGCTTTGATCCCTTTCAGAGTCAACAGAACAAGTGGAGAACCGCAATGTGCCCCGAAATGCTTTCAGCGTTCTGAACCTTACAACGAGAACACGTTATAATTGTTGGACAATTTACTACTCTAGATATTCACCTTTTTGACTTTTTTTTTCCTTCAGTACTTTTATGGACACCATTTTCTGTCAAGCTGTGGGGATGAGAGTGTTGAGCACGCGTAGTGATTAATACGCAGAGACCCTTGCAGAGACCCTCTAGTCTCCTCTAGTCTTCTTCCTGTTCTCTTTCAGACATGATGATTGAGTTGGCATTTCATGTTATGTTGATTTTGTTTGTGCACATATGCATGTGTGTGAATAAATGAATGTATATGTGTATTTATTTGTTTTTTTGCTTTACATGTCCGAAATTAAAGTTTATCATTATCATCATCCTGTAGATTGTGATAGGGTATGATCCATGACGCACACTGTCCCATGTGGCTTCCTATCATCTCACAGCAACCTAACAGATTGCTGAATTACTGCCAGCTGGAATACCAGCAACATAAACACAGTCACTGCTCTCTCTCTCTCTTTCGTATCCCCTGGTGCCCGTGTCTGCTGTTTCACCTTCCCAATCTAACTCGGGCCCTCAGACATACTGCGTCCTTGCAGAGACCCTCTAGTCTCCATTAGGCAGCAGAAGGTCAGCCCTGGCCCTCCATAACTCGCCAGCTGCTCCATCTGTCTGCATTCATGTCTGAATGCCATTCTTACTGTTCCTTTTCTTCTTTCTTACTACAGGACAGAATGCTGAATGGCAACATGCGAGATTTCACCGTAAGCACAAGTAAAGCCAAGTGAAGATCACTGTCTTATGAAATAGCAACGCAAACTACAAAGAAATGCTGAATTTTGGCCCTCATGGAGCATAATATGCAAGTCAATGGATACAAAGAGGAGCAGAGGCTCATTCTTCAAAGCTGATGTAGCCTCTTCTCTGTTTGTCCATCTACTTCCTGCAAACATTACTGTCTAAACCTGCTGTCACATAAGAAGAAATGAAGCCTGGACAGAAGACCTACCAG